GCTCACGGCCCCGGGGGAGACCGTGCAGCCTCCCCCCTCGGGGCTCGCCGCCAGCAGAAGCTCGCCGCGCGCCCGCGCGCCCGCGCGCGGGGGTGGCCCGTCGCCTGCGGAGGCTGCCGCGCCGCCGTCGGCCACCCCGGGCACCAGGCGCTCTCGTGGGCGGTCCTCGCCATGACGCTGGGCGTCCTGGTGGCCGTGGCCGCGACGGGCGGCCGCGGGAACTGCGGGGAGGAAAAGGCACCCAGACCTCCAATGTTAGAAGGCGGGCATGTCCCTCTGCAGGGGGAAAATGCACAAGCAGTCCACAAAATAGTCTGGGGACGATGTTTCCATTATTGTTTTGGCTATTTCTGAGAGTATTTGTGACTATCTTTAAAACAATTCTTCCAAAGTCCGCCTGTATGAAGACATGCCCGACCGAACTCTAATGTCAGCTTGTGATTCACAAATGCGTGTAGTGAGAAAGACTGGGGGCTGCCCAGCCACTGAAAAGAAAGAGGTTTTCTAAGCCTGCCTCAATGCTACATTACCCCCCCCCTGGGCGCTACCCCCCCCCCCCGCGCTAATCACCGGCGCCGCCGCCGCGGATTTTCAATCTGGCGGGCGCCACCCCGCGATTCGCCCGAGCAGGGAAAGTATTTTTTTAAACACGCGCCCCCCGCATATTTGTTACCTATACGACCACCCTTCGGGTGATAAGGAGGTTCGGGGGGGGGAGGAACCAACATCGCACTCGATCGGTCTCACTATCGATCTCACGATCGATCTCACTATCGGTCTCGCTCGATCGATCTCACTCGATCGATCTCACTCGATCTGTTTGTTTCGATCGATCTCACAATCGATCTGACTATCGGTCTCACAATCGATCTCACTATCGATTTCACTATCGATCTCGCAATCGATCTCACATCCGGTCTCACTATCGATGTCGCGATCGATATCACAATCGATCTCACAATCAAGGTCATCATCATCATCATCAACAGCATCATCGTCATCAACGTCATCAACATCACCATCATCATCGGGACACCATCATCATCATCATCACCTCATCACCATCATCATCAACATCGTCAGCATCATCACCATCATGATCACCATCACCAGCGAGACATCACCATCGTCAACATCATCATCATCAGCATCATCATCGGGACACCATCATCATCATCGGAACACCACCATCATCATCATCATATCATCATCATCATCATCATCCTGAACAACATCATCAACATTATCATCACCATCTTCGGGACACCATTGTCACCATCAACATCATCATCAACAACATCATCATCATCGGGACACCATCATCATCGTCACCATCATCATTACCATCATGATCATCATCATCATCATCATCATCATCATCATCATCATCATCATCATCATCATCTGGACACCATCATCGACATCAGCATCATCATCATCACCATCATCGGACCACCATTATCGAAAACATCATCATCACCGCATCACCATCCTCATCATCAACATCATCATCATCGGGACACCATCATCGTCATCATCATAATCAACAACATCATCATCATCGGGACACCATCATCATCACCATCATCATCAAGAACATCATCATCAACCTCATCATCACCATCATCGGGACACCGTCATCATCATCATCATCTTCATCATCATCATCTCATCACCAACTCATCATCATCATCAACATCATCAGGATCATTTATTGCATCATCATAATCATCAAGACACCGTCTTCATTATCACCACCATCATCAACATCATCACCATCATCATCGTCATCATCATCATCTTCATCGGGACAGTCTCATCATCACCACCATGACCATCATCATCACCAGCAACATCGTCAACATCATCATCATCATCATCATCATCATCATCATCATCATCATCATCATCATCATCATCATCATCATCATCATCATCATCGTGACACCATCTTCAGCACCACCATCACCATCATCATCACCATCATCATCCACATCATCGACATCATCATCATCATCATCACCACCATCATCACCATCATCATCATCATCATCATCATCATCATCATCATCATCATCATCATCATCATCATCATCATCATCATCATCATCATCATCATCGGGACACCGACGGGACACCGGCGGGACACCAGCGGGACACCGCGGGCCACGGGCCCCTGGAAATGGAATCATTTGGTCCGGCCGCGCCTCAGCCGGAGGCGGGACACCGGCGGGACACCGCGGGCCACCGGCCCCCGGAAAAGGAATCATTTGGTCCGGCCGCGCCTCAGCCGGAGGAGTTTTTCTTCTCGCCCGCCCACGCAGCTTCGCCTCGCCCGCACGCACGGCACGCACGAACACGAAACCGAAACCGATTTCCCGGTAGGGGGGCTCTCCGTTCCGCTTCGATCTCACCCCCTCACCTCCGAATCTCAAGCTGACAATACCTTCGCCCGTTTTCCCCTTTTTGGGCCTCTTGGGAGGCCCTCGTCGTCACCGCTGGATTCGCCTCGAAGTCCTGGTCGAGCGCACCCCACGAGAGGCCAAGGGGGTGGCGGTATCGGTGCCTTTTGGCTTCCCTAGGATCCAGGCCCAGTGTGTGCTCTCGGATCGACGGGTACCCAGGGCGAACCATTTGAGTCCAGAGGAGGTCGCCATGTACACCCGCGGGGAGGTCTCGTTCCACGTCGTCGGCGTTGTGGTGACCGCGCCGGTGGCCTTCTGGCTGCCCCGCTTCGCGACCACCTCGCACCTGCGCCGCGTCTCGGAGTACGCGCTGCTCCTGTGGCTCCAGCAATGGGCAGGGCTCGTCGGGTATTGGATGTCGTGTGCGGGTGGTTTCGAGAGGCAGAGACTGCTGCGCTTTGCCATCAGGTGGGTCTACAATCTCACCGTCATAGCCTCCCTCGGCTATTTCTGGTGGATTCTGCGGCGCCAGCTGCTGATGCTCGAAGTCAGCTCGTTCATCCCCATGCGTGCTCACTGGTTGTGGCGAACGATCACGGCCACCATGCTTGTTGGACTTTATGTAGCAGCGACGTTTTCCATGACGGATACCTCTCTGGGGGCCACAGGGAGTCCCATCCGAGTGACGACAGGACTTGCGATGTGGCTGGTCCAGCTCCTCCTGGCGTCCGCGCTGATGGTGTTCCTGCACGGCGTGCGGCGGGTTGCCAGGCTGACCCAGGAGGCGCGAGACCACGCCGTGGCCGTCGGCGTGCAGGACGAGGAGGGCCAGAAGGCCCCCAGGTCCCTGCGCTTCCAGATGTTCGGCTCGGCCCTGAGCGTCCTGAGCACCAGCCTGAGCCTGCTCGGGAAGTACTGGGTCGCGGACCTCCTCTGGCCCATCTCCGCGCCGAGCGACCTCACGAGGACGCCGGAGTTCCTGCTCGCCTCCTTCATGTGCCTGGGGCTGTTCGACGTGGTCGCCAACACCACCTCGAGGAACGAAACGCGGCACAGGCATAATTTCTCGGAGCTCCGTGCGGATCCCTCGGGTCGGCGCTGTCCCCCCCCCCCCCTCTGGCGGCGCCTCTGGCTCCCCGCCCCTGGCGCGCCCTCGCGCGCCAGGGTTTGGGGCAGCCCAGCACCGATCCGAGAAATCCGCGCGGGTCTCCGAGAGGTCATGCCGTTTCGTTTGCCGCTGTTTGGTCCTCAGCCATCGCCAGCCTGGCGCTGAGCGGGGTCTTCTTCGGCGCCCTGAGCGGAGGCCGCCAGTGGGCCCGCGCCGAGCGCGCGCGCCGCGCGACCTGGCGGCGCTCCTCCGAGCGGTGGGCCCCACACCCGGAGCCGCGCTGGCAGGCGAAGGTGGGCCGTGGCGGCATGGGGGGGGCGACCCTCCGGGCGTCCATGAGTGGGTCACGGCAGATGGGGCCGGAGGGTCGCGCCGCAGCGCCGATGCATCGGCGATGGGGCTCGATGTGGAGCTCGATATTCTCCACGCCGGCGTCGGCGATGCATCGCCGATGCATCGCCGATGCGGCGCGATTCCCCGACCCCATCTGCTCGCGCCTCATTCGTGAGGCCTGCAGGGGGGCAATGAAGGGCAAGGGTTAAGTCGGGCGCGTTCCCCTACAGGGGGATTTTCGACGAAGGATAATTACCCTGCGACGTACCCAACCCATGTGCATCAAGTGGCAAGAGGAGTAGGCCAACATTAGCAGGAACAACGACAGTGTAGACGAGGTGAATTGCTGCGCAAACTACATGGGATGCGCATGCGTTGCACGACTCACACGACGACGATCGAAAGAACGAGGAATGAGGCCCCAGGCTCGCAGAATAACGGGGACAGGAACGAGGGGCAGGAGAAGGATGGAATGGGGGGTAATCTGAATCTGCGTATGACGTCACTCCGCTGGGCCCCCCAGCAGCCCTCGAAAGTGGCGACAGTTTCGCAGATCGCAGCCCCCCAGGGATGGCGAGGTCGAATCTGAATCTGCGTATGACGTCACTCCACTGGGCCCCCCAGCAGCCCTCGAAAGTGGCGACAGTTTCGCAGATCGCAGCCCCCCAGGGATGGCGAGGTCTAATCTGAGTCTGCGTAGGGCGTCACTCCGCTGGGCCCCCCAGCAGCCCTCGAAAGTGGCGACGGTTTCGCAGATCGCAGCCCCCCAGAGATGGCGAGGTCTAATCTGAATCTGCGTATGACCCCACTGTGCTGGGCCACCCCAGCAGCCCTCGACAGTGGTGACAGTTTCGCAGATCGCAGCCCCCCAGGATGGCGAGGTCTAATCTGAATCTGCGCATAACCCTACTCCGCTGGCCCCCCCAGCAGCCCTCGAAAGTGGTGACAGTTTCGCAGATCGCATCCCCCCAGGGATGGCGAGGTCTAATCTGAATCTGCGTATGACCCCACTCCGCTGGGCCCCCCAGCAGCCCTCGGACGTGGCGACAGTTTCGTCGATCGCAGCCCCCCCCAGGGATGGCGAGGTCTAGTCTGAATCTGCGCATAACCCCACTCCGCTGGCCCCCCCCAGCAGCCCTCGACAGTGGCGACAG